AATAATGTCATGTGACAGTAATGGCAGGGCTGGGACTTAAACCGTGTCAGTCAGACTCTTGAGCTTTTGTCTTTCTATAGAAAGGGGAAGGCCTTTGAATGGACCTAGTGAAGTAGAGCAGGAAAAAAAGACTGCCTCAGGCGTGACAGTGGTCTGGTAAATGCAGTGCTGTACTGTGGTCCTGTAGCACTTGATGGAGAATTTGAGGAGAGGACAGGCAGGAGCCAGTGATGAGCTGAAGGTCATGCTGAGGAGGTGATATTTATTCTAGAGTCAGTAATTTCCACCTGGAGAGTGGACTTGTATATTAATGAGGGCAACTTTGGAGGTTGTGTAGAAACTGTTTCTCATGTTCCAAACAAAATTTGGAACCTCTGAGTTCAAAATCATCACTTCATGGTAACTAACCACGTAGAGGCAGACATGACAGAATTATTGTGCCCTAAAGAAAGACAGGGTAGTGGCCCGAGGACAGGTGGGAGCTGCTAGTATGACAGGTTCCAGAGGCAGATTGGATGGGGCAGGGTTCACCTGGTTTGTGAAAAGAATGAGAAGTTGTTGAGGGTGAGTTGGATGTTTTTTCTAGGAACTAAGTAGAGATACTTACTCTGACAGCTGTAAAAGCTTGGGGTAGGGTGAGATAGAGGTGAGGAAAGGTTCAGTTTTATACATGTCGAGTTTGAGGGCCCTTTAATATGGCTCTTTAGTGACAAAAGTAGAAAGGAACTTATATCTGTCACTCAGGAGCAAGGTGAAAGCTAGAAATGATTTGCATTCAGCTACTGTAGACTGTAGCTAGGAGTGTGGATTCCCGAGGAGCCTCCAAAGCTTGAAAGCAAAAGCAGGCTAAAGAAGAGAATGAAGAAAACACAGCCCCTTGGCAAGCGAGGCCAGCACCTTCCAGGGCTCTGAGGAGTCAGCATTAGATAAGTGTCTTGTGTAGAAGAACAGGGAACTCTGCTTAGGGAATTCTTATTTAGGATTTCAGATATTGAAAATGGTCAAATTCTAGGTGCTAATGAGAGGCCGTGGGAGATGGGCGTTAGAGGCCATAGAACAGGGTGGGCAGTGACTTTCCTACAGGGAGTATGACAAAGGGAGAAAGTAGATCAGAAAACCTGCTTCTCATGGTTGGATGAGCGCTGAAACGCAAGTTTTGCATTTCTCAGGAGGTTGGGAGCCAGTGTTCCTCAGAGGAAAGTAAGTGTGGCATGGATTGGCTTCTCAGGGGCCTTGATTAACTTCAGCAGTCAGTGGTTTGAAGGATGTGGAATGGAATAGGCGCAGCTGTGAGGTGGAGATAGTGGTGGTTGAGGTGGAAGCTCGAACTGGCGGAGCTGCCTCAGTTCTTAGTAAGAATCCAGAGCAGATTATATGAAAACATACCTAGGCTGTGGTCCGTTTTCTGCGTGGCTGCCCTGGAGTCCACCTAAGAGCCAAACCTTGTGTGTACAAGAATGTAGCATGTGGAGAGGAATGATTCCTGTGTCCTGTGCCAGGACCTCAGCTGGGCATAGTTCGTCGGACCAGGCAATCTGACAGCGATGTTCAACTCAGTGTTCTTAGGCATGGAAGACCTGGAGCGAGGTTATGGAGAAGATTATAAAGAATTGGAAATCCAGTGTGACTGGATGTGTATTTTTAAAAAGTAAATGTCTTTTGAGGCTGGAGAGATGGCTCAGTGGCGTAAGTGCCTGGCTGGCAAGTGCAAGGTCATGAGTTCAGTTTCCAGTACCTAAATAAATAAAGTCTTAAAAATGTCTTTTCTGCTGATCCATGGCAGTCACTTACAGATGGCTCTCATTAACAGGTACATTTTTTCCCACTATATAGACAACTAAAACAACATATCCTGCATAAATTGTTTTTCGTTTCTCACTATTACGAAAAATACTGCAAGTACTGGTTTTATATACAAAATCCTACATGCTTCGAGGATCATTTCAGGGTATTTTATTTTATTTTTTTTCCTGAGTTCATCTGACTATTCAGGCTGGCCTGGAATTCATGGCACTCTCCTACCTCAGCCTCCCAAGTGCTGGGATCATAAGTGTGGACCACCCTGCCCAGTCATTGAGGGTTTCTGTTGTCCTCATTTGAGATGTGTTTCCTTATTGATCTGTTATGGCAGTGAACTCTGTTTGGGATCTAGACTGTATAGTTTGGAAATGAGATTTCCAGTAGTGTGCTCTGTTTTGGCACAATTTTGCTGTAATAATGCAGGTTTAGTGGAGGTCATTGTACTAGGAAGCCTCCTATTCTTTCTGTTCTGTATCTGCAAAACCCTCATGAGTGGTCCTTTGATAATGGTCCTAGGACAGGGGAGCCTCCAGGATTTTATGGAGGAAAATGTAAAAGAAAACTGGAAGAGCTATGGTGTCTGGCCCCTGGGGGACAACTTTGTTTCTTTATGGCCTCTCTTGCCAGTGTTCTTTGAAACTTACCTATATAGACTCAGCCAGTAAAGAACATGTGCAGTCCTATATGGTTCCCCTTGTGGCAGAGATGGGCCCTGAAACCCTCCCTGGTGCCTCCTTTTCAAGTAGCAGAGGCTTTCTGTCCTCCCTAGAGAAGCGAATGTTGTGTCTTGCTTAAATTCCTGTCACTGGACCAAATGTTCCAGCTGCTGATCAGCAGAGCTGCCCATTTAATAAACAGCCGAAGGAATGTGGGTTTGAGTGATCACCTTCTTTGCCAGTTTTGGAGCCTGGGGAAAAAAAAGAGCTGTCTTTGGAAAACGCTTTCGTTTTTGTGGTTTTTTACTTGTAAGGCTGGTTGACTGTTGAGCTTAGGTTGGTGAGTTGTTTTCCCTGTAGGAGGACTTGAGCCACAAGAACTGGTTTTAACTGAGCTGCACTCGCCACAGCCCCAGTTCACCTTCATCCTCTTGGATTCTTCAGAAGAATGACAGGGCCTGGGAGGGAGCTGATGTGTGACCTGACAGTAAGTTGCCTTTTATTTGCTGCTGCCCACTCTGATTGTCCTTGCTACCTACTGTGGGGTGAGAGAAAAGGGAATGGTGATGTAGTTCCAGAGCTTGTGATTTGACATTTAAGAGTTAGATGAACAAGTTGGGAGAGAAGTAGTTGAAGAGGGTGGGTTGGGATTTGTGTGGCAATCTGTTTTCCTTTCCTTGACTGTTAGGCAAGTACTTTGAGAATGTCTGCCTGCCTCCTCTCCCCTCCTTTCCCTCCTGGTTTTTATTATCTTTGGTGGCGTGAGAGGAAAATGTTTTTTTGGAAGTCACATGAGTTTAATTTTGAGTAAGTGTCTTAGAGGTTTTTTTGTGTCTTATTCTAAACTAGAAATTGTGCCTCATGCCATAAGGTTGCTATGAGCATAAAATAAAATTATAAAGTATATGAAAGAACTCTGTGCTTATCCTCTGAGCTCTTCTGGGGAGAGTGGGTGGGCTGAGGCCTGAGAAGGACAGCACCCACTGGGTCCAAAGGGTATGAGACTTGGGAGTGTTTGTTTAAAATGTCTGTGGTCAAAAGTACGTTCTGGACAGAAGAGGTGATGATGTAACTGGGCTCTGTGTGTGTATTGAAAAATTCTTCTTTGCTCTTTCCTCATTTCAGGTTTGTCCTTTGAGTCAAGTTAAATATTTGTAAGCATTTCTGAGTACAAAAGTAGTATATTAGAGAGTTGTGAGGGATACAGAAGTAAAGCCCCTACCTCTGTGGGTGCGTGGTCTCTTGGAAGGGTAACAGCAACATGTATACATGGGAAGGCAGATATGGTATGGTCAGTTGAAATGGAGACCATAATATTTGCATGCTGGTGGAGGCCATCAGGTGAGACGGGGAGCTCTGGGCTAGAAGAATGGGTGAAGGCAGTTCAGGTTAAAGCATTTAGACAGTTTGAGGGGTTTTTTAAGGTGGTTTTTTTTTTTTTTTTGTTTGTTTGTTTGTTTGTTTTTTTGTGGAACCGGGGATTGAACTCAGGCCTTTGTGCTTGCCTAGGAAGCGCTTGTTCCACTGAGCCATCATCTCCCAAGCCCCCTAGACAGTTTGAATGTATGGAGGAGATGGGTGCTGGCTAGAAGGTTAAAACTGGGGATCCAGATGTTAGAAGCCCCTGAAATATTTGGCACAAGGGAAGTTGCTCTGTGAGCGAAGTGTTCATGGTGGGTCAAATAGGAGAGCTGGATGTTAGGTCCAGTTGCACACATTTTGTTTTGGAGGCTCTCATGAAAATTAAATGTGTTGTTCACAGTAACTCTTGAACAGCTGGACTGAAACACAGATCACACACCTGGCTTTATCATTGAACTTGCCACATGGATTTGTATCAAGATAGTAGGAAGAGCATGTCTTATTTTTTCATTTCTTTAGTCCTACAAATACAGCTGTTGACCATACATTGCACATTGAAAGTGCTAAATATTTAGCTTCTAGGTTAATGTATGGCTGTGGGGAATAGTCTATGTTATAAAGTCTAGTTTTAGGTAATAGCTTCTGTAACCTCAAGCACCAGACTTTGCACCTTCCGCCACCCCCTTGGGGTGTCCTAGTGTAGAAGTGCCAATTATCAGTATTTTTGATAATCATCAGTAGTAGGTAAAGGGAATATTGTACATGAATGGAGTAATTAATTATTACATGGTAGAAAAAAGACTCTAAGTTTAAAAATCTTATTTAGACTTGTATTAACAGCAGCTATCTTGCTCTGTCACTGAATATTTTGTTTCCTTTGTTACCATCCCAAAAGGTGGGTCAGGATTGGCTCAGGGTGCCCCAGTGTGGTGTCTTTCCTGGCCTTAGGTTCTTAAGGGAGACTTCTTGGTTCCAGCATTGTGAGTAAACAGAACAGAAAATTACTCTCACATGCCCTACTTAAAAGAAGCATAGGGTTGAGGGTGTAGCTCAGTGACAGGGAGCTTGTTTGGCTTGAGCGAGGTTCTGGCTTTGCCCCCAGTGCCATAGGGAAAACAAATGAGAAAAGAAAAAGGAGCCTGGATCATGACCTGCAGAGAACCAGGCATATTTACTCCTTCAAGAATTGAACCATTTCTATGTGTGGGCAGGAAGTCAGAGTTGGAATTGGGAAACTTTGAGCTTGTATTTTCCATTCTCTGCCTGTCACTCTTCTTCAGGATGCCCATTTAGGCCTTTAACAGTAAGAATGAAAAATAGAGTTAAGGTATTAAAAGGTAGTTAAGTACAGTTGGAGAACAATGGAATTCTAAGCTTTTTTGTTGTTATTCCAAAAGTATTTACCAGCAATTGGAAAGTGACTCACCCTGTCCTCGAATCCAAATAGCATGACAGTCTTAACTCCAGCCTGCAGGTACTCTGTGCGTGTGTCACCTCAGATGGCAAACCGGATTGTGGACTCTGCAAGGAGTGTCCTCAACAAGTTCATACCTGACATCTATATTTACACGGACCACATGAAAGGAGCCAGCTCTGGGAAGTAAGTGACTGCATTTTGGAAAATTCTTCTTCCGCTTCCGTGGCCCAAGGCTTTTCACATGCTTCCTGAAGTTAAAACTACCAGCGTGGAGGGTGGGCACAGAGGAAGAATGATCTCAAAATTAATTTCCTTCTGCCTCACCGCTTTTGTCACCAACAGACATTTCTTGAGTACTTATCACATGAAAAGTATCACAATTGCTAGTGCGTGAGCCATGGGTCCAGTACTTGTCTTTAGGAGAATTTAAACTTATCTATTCATAAACAGGGCCTCAAGTTGTAAATGCCATATGTACTCTGTTTCAACAAAAAAAGTGGACAGAATTCTTGTACTCTGAGCACATAAAAATGGGGGAAAATCCTTTGCTCTGTAAGGGCAATTCAGCTTTTCTTGCCATCTGTGGGAAAACCACGCCTAGATCCAGAGAGAGTTGTAGATTTCAATTTGATTTACTTAAAGCTGTCACTTCTATAAATAAATAAATGAAAGAAAGCAAAAGATTTTTTTAATTAGAAATTTTTAATAAAAAATGAAACAATAAAAAACAACGATCTATATAATAAAAATGCATGTCAGGGTTTGCTTGTATATTTAGAAACCAGGGGTTTAGAGATTACAAAAATGTTTAATATAGAGAAAAACTGAAGGAATAGTATAGTGAACACTTGTGTATCTTCTTGTTGCTTATAATGAGCAGTGAATATTGTACCCTAATTGCTTTACTTCTTTCTGGGTTTTATAGCATTGTTATGTTTTGAATCTGAAATTTTCAGGTCCTGTCTCTAAAATGATCAGAGTCCAAGGTTAGCTACTGTGGGTTAAGAAATCACTTTTTTTTCGAAATGGCAACCAAGTCGATCCTTTTCACAGCTTTCTACCTAAGGTTTCTTTTGACTTCAGTAAAAAGAAAAAAAGAAGAGGTGGAGTGAGGGGTTGAGTGTGAGTGAAGGTCTTTGACTTTCATGAGGCCCAGTAGGAAGATGAAGTGCTTTCAGAAGTTCTTTGATGGTCCATAGTTCAAAGAAACCAGAGTGGTGGTGTCAAAGGTTAGGGTTGGAATAGGGTTGTGTGTAAAACTTATCTTTTCTTCTGGGGCATTGAAAATGTTAATAAAGGTCCCAAACCTTTGATTTATTACTCTAATATTACTGCTAATATTGGCAGAATTTTCCTTATTTACAATTGAAGGTGATAATATTTGTAACCCAGGGTTATTATAAGCATTAAAAGATCATATATGTGGCTAGGAATGGTTTTGTAACCCTAGCACTCTGAGATGCTGAGGCAGGAGGATTACAAGTTCAAATCTGTCCAGCCTGGGCAATTTAGTGCCTTAGTGAGACCCTGTCTCTAAAAGGATAGTGGAGGGTGGAGTGGTCTGGAGATGTAGCTCACTACAAAGGCCTTGGGTTCAATCCGCAGGACTGCAAGAAAACAAAACATGGATGCAAGCTGTTAATGCAGTCCCTCACAAGCAGTAGGTGCTGCAACGTGGTACCCACTCATGCTGCTTTGTCCCTTCCTCTTGTAGGTACAGAATATGTGTCAGTTGTCAACTCTTTCTTGGAAAGGTGATTGCAGGTGATAGAAGAGGCTAGGGGAGGTTAGGTAACATTAGGAGCTGTCTAAATGCCCTGATCTTCTTGGTCTCTTTGCTGTCTGGCCTTAGCTTTACCAAAGAAGGGACAATAACAAAGCAGAGCAGCTGTGAAGTCCCTGCTGCCTCCCTTTAGCTCTAACATGGCTTTTAATTAATGTCACTGACTTAGTGACCATAGTGTGTCATCAGGTTCCACACTTATTAATGGCGAGGAGAAGCCTCACATGAATTGATGTGTAGATGCGAAGTCTTGTGGATCATCACATCAACTCTAACCCTCGTTTTAAAAATTACATACAAGGCCAGGGAGGTAGCTCAGCAGCATAAATGCCTGCATGGCAAGCACAAGGACATGAGTTTGAGTTTGATCCCCAGTATACCAGCCCCCCCCCAAAAAAAGCCTACATACAGAATGTATGGTTCAGATTTCGTTTTCTAAATCTCAAGTTACAGATGAAAAACATTGATTTTCCTTTTCTGTTCCACAATTATAAAGTCATGGATGGATAGATATTTTCATCTTGATTCAGTGCAGTGTGTATGTAAGTTAGGCTTGTTTAGCTGAAGGAGCAGCAGCATATATTATGGCCATGGCTCCAAACCCAGGGGCCCAGTGGCTCTTGGTAGCTTTTGTTAGCACTTTGACCTATAGTCCCATGTAGCCCATTTTGTCTCTCACAGTAATTTTTAAAAAATCTAGTCCTTTACCGGTTGGAAAACTCACCTTCTAAAAGGCTACTTTGTCAGTGTCATATGAAATAGGCCTGATGAGCCACATAACCCCAAATGCGGGGAAGCTGCGTTGAGCAGTATATATCAAGTTAATATGTGTTTGGTGTTTTTTCTCTAAAGTTTCCAGTGTAAAAGTCTGATTAAATACAAAATTCATTACAATGATGAGTACCACAAAAAGTTGACATAGGTGGAAGCATTTAGGAATAAAGGCATGTGGGTTAAAGCAGCAGTGCCCCACCCCTCCTTGCCCTGTCTGCTGTTCTTCATGCTTCTGTACTGCTGCTTCTATTACAAGCTGGATGTCCTCACTCTCCTTCTGGTCAGATGAATTAAAGGCACTTGGGGATTTCACTAGCATTTTCTAGGTGCTGTTTGATTGTTAGGCATGATTCGAAATGCCCTGGAACTTTTGCTTAAATATGTAACTTGCTGCACCCCCTTACCTTGATAGGTGTTAACTGACCCTTGACTAAATAGACAGTTGAATTTTTCTGAAGAAATGAAGGATTGACCAGTATAGTTCTTCCATACAATGAACTCATATTGTGTATTTAAAACATTAATTTTATATAGGTGTTTGAAGGTAAGCATTTCGGTGTGGCTATTATAGACTCACAGTGGATATTTTATGAATAATGTTGAATTGTGTTAAAGGAGTCAGGCTGTCCTATGTGTGCTTGTAGACTGTGCTGCTGGGAAAGTGGCTTCATCTTAATGACACATTTGCTTAAAAGTTGTTGGGCAAAGTAGATGTTTTAGTTATTCTCTCATTGTTGGGACAAAAAATACCCAACACCCAAAGGCTGCTCAGATGGTGACGGTTTTAGTTCATAATCAGTTGGCTCCAAGGGAAGGCAGAAAATGGCAGCGGGGCAACCACTCATGATGGTGGAAAACAACAAAAGCGACAAGCCAGAGGGAAACTAGCCTCTTTCTGTCTCTTATACTATATTCCATCTACAGGGATTAGGGCAGTGCCACTCTATAATCAGTGGACTGATCCAGCACACCCTCAATCCCAGCACTGCACTATGAATCAGTCACACACTAGATTCAGCAACTTCTGGAGAGCATCTCTCCAGACTTGCAGTGATCCTCCTGCCTCAGCCTTCTGAGTACTGGGATTATAGGCATGTGCCACCATGCCTGCCAGCCACCTTTCCCCCAAAACTCCTATGACTGCATGGGGCTTTGCGGGAGGGACATCTAGACACAAACCATAACAGTAGACTTGAGGCATCTTAGAATTTGAAGTATCTTGTAATTTTGTGGAGAGATCCTTGTTTTGATTGTTCATAGGCAGATGTTCTTTTGTGGTTAAAGTGGTTGCTACTAGGTTCTGTGAGAACAGAAACCCCTGTGTTACCGAGGTACCCGAGGCTCTGGCTTTGAGAAGCCCTCAGATGCTCATTGGGTGTATGGGTCAAATATAGTCCTGGACAAGAAGGTTGTTTGGTTCTGGGTGTTGGGTGACAGAAACCCAATGGGTGAAATTATAGTACCAGCTCACTCACTTTATTAATTGAATTCTATATTTAGAGCTTCCCTTTGGAGCAAAACCATAAAGATGTGAGTTATCTAGGCCCATTCTGGGTGTCATCTTTTTCACTATGGGATTTCTCAACTAGAATTTTAGCTGGGTGGCGTCTGGGACTCATACACTTAGATTAGCTGTGACTGAGGGTTTAGTATGGGACGGGGCTTTGGAGGCTTAAGACTTCTGTGAAAGCAAAATCTCAGTCACTTGCTAGCTGTGTGGACTTGGTTCCAGCAGGTTAATTTTGACATTTCCTCATTTGTAAAATAAAGACAGTAATAGCTACTGTGTGCTTGTGATTTCATAAGTATTATTTGCAAAGCCCTTACACTTGTCAGAAAGTGGGTACTCAGTGTGTGGCAGCCCTATTAGCATTCTCTTATACTGTTGGCTGTTGAAATCTCTCGCAGTGAGAGCTGTCGCAGGGTAGGAGGGAAGGGAGCGGGTAGAGGAGTGAAGACTACAGAAGAAGCAAAGCTTATGGCACCCCTCTTGGTTCTACCTGGTATGGCCTCAGTAATCATCTGTGTTTCTTGTGTGAGCTAGCATCCATTCTCATAAGGCTTAAGGGAACCAGAAGGCAGTCTTCAACTGCCATTGAAAAGATGTTTGTCTTCCCTTTCTACTTGTTGGTGTGTGTGCCTTTACCTACTCAGTGTCTGTGCCTTCAAACCCCCAGGTCCCCAGGCTTTGGACTGTCCCTGGTTGCTGAAACCACCAGTGGCACTTTCCTCAGTGCTGAACTGGCCTCCAACCCTCAGGGCCAGGGAGCAGCTGTGCTTCCAGAGGACCTTGGCAGGAACTGTGCCAGGCTGCTGCTTGAGGAGATCTACAGGGTATGTATGTCTTCAGGCTCTGTGGGTGCTCAGAGAAGAACAGTCTGGAAACAGCAGCTTGGTATCCCTCATTCTTACTCTTCTTCAAGAGTAATCCAAGGAGTTAACCTGTGTGTGTGCTTTGAACAGTTTAGCCTTAACCGGTTTAATGGAACAGTTGAACTAGTCAGTAGGCAGAAATCTAGCTTCACTGGTTTGGGACACAGAGCAGGTACTTTTTATTGGGGGCAGAGGAGAGATCTGGAACAGAGTCATAAAAGAAAATGAAGGCGAAAAGAGCATAAGCCAGGTGGGGTGAAGTTAAGGAACCATTTCTAGTGCTGCCAGTCACTGAGAATGGGGGAATCATTGCTTTCCGATTTTTCTAGAGAAACTGAAGTCTATATTTGTGTATGACAGTTGATTCAGATGTAGAATACTAGCAACAGGCTATGTTTTGCAGTGTGCTCTACAGCATAGAAGAATGTTGGGAAAGGTAAGCCAATATCACAGTATGGTGGGGGCTTTGGAAAGTATGAGAATCTGGACCAGAGACTTGGCACTGCCACGATGAAGACAGACCTGACCATTCAGCTTCGGCAGCCCAGATCAGCCTGCCTTCCCAGTGGCCATGGCTTTTCTGGGTCAGTTCACTCATACAATGTGTGTGTAGCCTGCACACACTTTTACTGCTTCCCTGAAATAGCTGAACTGATGAAAGTATGGAAGAAAGTGGGAAGGAAGGGCAGGGCAGCAGGGCGCTGGCAGGAATAAGTTGCTTGAAGATACATTCTCTGAAGTTCCTACCTACCTGGTTAGAGAAGGCCACAAACCTGGTTTCAGTTAGTCTGTACCCTCTTTTTAAGAATTTTTTCAGTACTGGGAATAGAAAGAAACCCAGACCTCCACAGTGAGCTACACCCCCCAGCCCTTTTTGCTTTTTATTTTGAGACAGGGTCTCACTAAGTTGCCCCAGCTAGGCTCACACTTATAGTGGTCCTTCTTCAGTTACCCAGCATGCTGATACAGGGATGGCCTTCCAGGGCTGCACCTCCTTTGCCTTGTCTGCATCCCGAGGGCAAATATTTTCCTGCACTCGGAGTCCAGTCAGGACATCTCTGCTCTGAGTGCCAGGCTCCATCGTCGGGAGCTGACCTCCAGTGAAAGTGCAGTCTGGGTTGCTGCTGTCTGAGATTGTGTAGTGTTAGTATGTTGGCCCCCATCTGCCTCTGAGAAGCGTTTCTAAATCTTCATGTTGATCTGTGTTTCTTCCTGGTTCTTAGTCCTCTCTTTATTTCCAAGAAAGTTTTGTCCTGTGTAAAGTAACAACAGAAAAATCACATCTGAGTCCAGTGAATAAAATAGGCTAAGTGGGCTCAGTGGCAATTGTGTTTTTCTTTCAGTCCTCCTTTTTCTGTTGCTTCAGTTTGTCAGTCCTTGGGAGAGACAGAAGCTCAGGTCATGGGTAGTGCTCAGAAGAAAGCGCATAGGCACAGTCTGCCACCCATATCCCAGTCAGTATTCCCAGAAATGTCTCCTTTGGAACAAGTGAGACAAGTGAGAATGAACTGTTTCAGAGTTAATTAAAATTAAATACTCGAAGTGGCTCTGTTTAATGTTAAGAATGGAAGACAAAGCCGCGACAGATGTTCCCTCCAGAGAGGGCCTCCTGCGCTCTGCTCACCACGCATCAGGAAGTTGTCAAGAGGTGAAATCATCAAGGTGGAAGTTTTCTAACATGGATTTTGTGCTAAGTCTGCCACAGGTTTTTTGAGTGCTATGTGACTTCATTTTTTATACTAAATTTAGTAACTTTGGAAGGGGGATATGTAGTAACTGGAAGTTTGAGAGTAATGAGATTGCTCTGCCACCTAAGATAAGGGAGAAAAGGTGCACGTGACGTTTGTGGGAACCCAGGGAAGCTCACTGTTGATCTGAGTGGGTTTTCTTTTCCTGGTCTTGTGGTTTCTGGCAGGCGTCTGTCCTTTCTAGAAGATCCTGAAAGAATTGAAAGCATCACATCACAGAGCAGGAGAGTAGGATCCCAAGGGCACAGCTGGAGTTTGGATTTCATGTCCCCATAAATAGCAGAGTATTTATTATATTAGCCTTAGGGTGAAAGCACAGCCCATCAGGCTGGGAGAGGAAAAACACACAGTCTGGATTAGGGTATTATTGTTTTCTTTTCTCTAATCGAGATTTTCATTAAAACATTCTATTATTTGTAGGTCAAATTTATTTTGTTTTGGTCATTAAGAAAACTTCCTTTGTGTGTTTGTGATCTTTAATTAGTACAAGAAGGAAAAAACATCATGCTTTTTAACATAATTCTTTACAGATCTGTGATGCAATGTGATTTGAAGGAGCAACAAAAACCCATCCCATCCATTTTGAAGGTGCTGTTTGTATTTGCCAGCTTTAAGGCTTTGACCTGAGTGTTCCTATTCATAGGTTATCAAGTTTTCTCCATTCTGTATCAGGCTTCCTGGAGCTGCCCTTGCCTTTGCACCCTTTCCCTGCTGCACCCACTGCCCACCCTTCCTGCCTGCTCCACCTCACCCACATTCACACTCTGCCCCCGCCAGACATGGATTATGTGTAGAAGCTGCTCTCCTCCCTGCCCGAGGGGAAGTCCTTTCCACATCCTCTAGCTTCCCGCTGTGTCTCAGTCTCCCCCAAACACTGGTCTGATCTCTTGCCTCTTCTGTGCAGAACCCTCACTGGCTCTTCACTTTCCTGAGAGAAAATTCAGGACTCTTGAGTCAGTCCATCAGGTTTAGCTTGGTCTGGCCAGCCTGCTTTCTCTGCAGTTGTACCTGGCTCTGGGCTGTGCCGCGCTGGCCCGTTCATTATTCTTCCCATCTTGCTGCTTTTCTTCCTCCCTACAGCCTGGTCATTTTGCAGGTCCAGGTCAAGACTCTGCCCCCTAAAGCAGCCTCCAGATCTGGGGATATAACTCAGGGGCATAAGCACCTGCCTGGCAAATGCCAGGTCCAGAGAGTTCAGTTCCTGGAGTTCAGTTCTTGGCATCCTGTCCCCACCATTCCCTGATATGATGTTTCCATAGTGATTATGCCAGTCTATACTCTTGCCAATAGTGCAGAAAGGTTCCATTTTCCCTACAGCCCCTCCAGCAGTTGTTATTGTTTGATTTTGTTTATGCTTTTTATTTTTTACGGAGAATAAAAAATAGTCAAAAAACAAAAAAACGTTAGAAATGATACTGAATTTCACTACACAAAATAACAGGAATTTAACAGTGGTTTTTATATTCTATGATGTCTGCAAATTAGTTGTTTACATTATCAGATATAAGCATACAAAATTGGTAAAGGAAAACAAAAGTTATGAGAAATTAAAAAGGACAAGAAAAAATTTTAAGCATTAATTTCATTGTTCAGTAGACCAGCAAAAGTCAGCAATACAGTTATCTAGACTTGCGTATGTAAGCATCACTTTTTCCCTAGTGTAAGAAATTGAAAAAGTAAGCAAGATCTAAACAGTATGGTAATCATTGTGAAAGGAAAATGAATTGCTCAGAAAGAAAAGAATAACTGAGATGGGGGAAAAGGAAGGAGTGTGTATGTGTGTGTGTGTGTATGTGTGTGTGTGTGTGTGTGTATGTAAGATGGCTGAGATAACTGTGTGACTAATTTCTGTTAGTTCATTGGAAGGAACAGTTAGTGCTTATATTGTTGACCGATCTTACATGCCTATATCTGGTAATCTGAGTGACTACTTTGAAGATAGCAGTATGCAATATAATAACCATTGTTCATTTCTTATCTTGTTTTAAAATTCTGTATCATTTTTACTGACTTTTTAAAAATCATTCTCTTTAAAATAAAAATGGCTTTTTTATATAAAAAGGAAAATGAACACTGAAAGAAGAAAAACAGCAGAGCCATTGTGCCTTAGGAGAAAGATTCTAAAGAGAATTCTGTTCTTCTTATTGATTCGGAAAAAAAGAAAGAAAAATTCCAGGAATAATGGATAAATAGTAATAAGCATGGGGGCTGGGGATATAGCTCAGCAGCACAGTGCCTACCTGGCTAGCGCAAGATCCTGAGTTTGATTCCTGGTACTAAAAAATAACAATAATTAGTAATAAACATAGAAAGATCTGACCATGACAGCATTCAAAGGTTAAAGGCACACAGGAAGAAGTAAAAAAGAGAGGTTAAGAGCATCGTGAGCAGTTTCTGAAAGTATTACATTAAGTGTGGGAGAGCTGAAAGAATGTAAAATGCTTTAAAGGTAAAAAGCCTTTTGTTATCAGATGATGTTTTTCTGAGACACATTGGACAAAGGTAAGCATCATTCACTTATCCCTTGGAATTAATCTTCTAGAAGCCATTGTGCCTTTTTTTGCTCATACTTGATAAAATTTCCCACCCCTGCTCCAGTTTATTCTTTATTCTTTTTTTTTAATTATTGAGGACAGTGTCTACAGGGTCTCACTACGTAGATTGCACTTGTAGCAATCTGTTTTCAGTTTCCCAAGCCCTGGGATTACAGGTGTGCGCTACCACACCCAGTCTCAGTCCCTGTCTCAGCATGCCCCAGGGGCGGGCACGCCACGCCACACCACACCATGCCATGCTGGGGATTGAACCCAGGTCCCTGCATTTGCCTAAGCAGGCACTTTAGTCCTCTGAGTTATCTGGCCAGCCTTCCCTGCTCTAATTTCTAAGGGAAAGTTTTACTTTTTTCTAGATTATCTGAAGGATATTTGAATGTCTGTTCATTTTGATAATCTGTTACTGTAATTGCATTGGCTAACTGTTAGGTTTTTGAAAAAAAAAATTTTTATTATATAAAGAGAATACAAAATAGAAAAAAAAATTAGAAACTATTGCATAATGTTGTCTTCAAATTAGTTGTTCAGATTACCAAGATAAGCATGCAAAATTGGGGGGAAAATGTTACAAAAAATTAAAAAGGACAAAAATATTTAGGACCTCCTCAAGTTCGTTGATACAGTAGTTACTTGTCTCAGACTGTATTCTGTGAGTTCTGATGTTGGGAGTGTGTTTCTGGTCTCCCCCCTTGCGTCGTATTTTCATTTCTGATTTGTGTAGTGATTAATCATTGAAATGTTTGTATTTACAGGGTGGATGTGTAGACTCAACCAATCAGAGCCTAGCCTTGCTGCTCATGACCCTGGGACAGCAGGATGTTTCCAAAGTCCTGCTAGGACCAATCTCTCCATATACGTAAGTTGCTTTCTTTCAACCTCATCTCTCTGTCTAATTTAATTTTGTACTTATACACAATGACAAGGATGTGTTGTACGTAGCCTGTCATATGACCACCTGCTTGCATTGACCCTTAGATGAGCCAGCACTTGCCACTCTTACCCTGGAGTTTATTTTTGTACTTTGTCTTCTTTTCTTTCCTCATCCCCAACTGTCATTCCTATGTAATTAAACTTGCATGATACACATTGGACAATTTTTGTCATTTCCATAGCAGTTTCACTTGTGGTACATGCGCTTCCTGTTAGATGATTATTAGCTGGCTGGAAGAGATGAAGAAGGGCAAAGTTCATGGTAATGCTAAGTCGGGGAATTGTAGAGGTGAGTTTGGGTGTTTTTAGTCGAAATTGACTTCTGAGGAGTAAAAGCAAACATTCTCCGAAGCAGTCAGTCAGACTGGAAATACAAAGAGCACAGGAGATGGACAGATGGACAGACAGACAGAGAGAGGGAGAAGAAGCATTTCTCATCAGTGTTCTGGAGTCTGATGCCACGAGTGCATGCCAGTGCACACACATGTTCACAGACTTCGGGATGGTTGCGTGGCCATCTGTGGTAGTGAGCTGGGAGGGAGGGAGGAAATGCTCAGCTAGTTATGAGACTGAACTGTCCTTTTTCGGTTATCATGGTACCGATGCTGTATGTCTGAAAGGTACAGTACTGTGATAACTGAAGAATGGTGGTGCCATCACGTTGAGAGATAGGACAAGGACTTCAGTGCGGCCTGCAGCAGTGAGGCCCAGCCCTCAGGGTGTGGAAGCCAGGAGTCTGAGAGTTTTATGGGGAAAGCTTTATTTTTAATTTTTGGGTTGGTGATAGGGGAGGATGTTTTTGGAAGAGAATGCCTTCTGTTAGTAGTGGGGGAAGGCTGATAAGCAGGGAGCTGGCGAGCAGCGCATTATCTCTTGATAACATGTGTAAAGCATTTGCAGGACAGGAAACCTAAAATTGAGTAATCCTCAGTGACGTGCTAACATTGCTAAAATAGACTTGGTGGTGAAGTATTTGGAGAGAAGGCAAGAGCCAGGAGTATAGCAACCTAAGTGCAGAGATTCATTTCCCATAGTTTGCCAAAGCTCATGGTAGCTGGGATCACCCTGAGTCCCATTGGCTTTTCAGCCAGTGTCCTTGCTGCTGCTAAGATCCTGAGCTCTGCTTTGGAGCCATAGAAAGCCTACAGCTCACCCAGCAGGCCTTGTTTCAAACTGTGTGGTCGTGGGATGTGGGCTTTGGCAGAACATTATGTGAAAATGAAATACATAATAATACTTTTTAATTTAACTTTTGAAGAATTTTTCTACTTGGCTTCAGGGGATTTATACTCTATATAGACCTTCAGCTTTCCTGGAGATGATAAAATATGGTGCGACATTTTTAAAAGTTCCCGTGTCAGTAGGCATGGTGGTACATGCCTATAATTTCAGCGTTGAAGCAGGAAGATCACTGCAAGTTCAAGGCCAGTCTGGGGTACATAATGAGTTCAAGGCCAGCATGAACTATGTGGTGAGACCCTGTCTCAAAAAAACAAGACGAAATATAATAAAAGTTCCTGTGTCATCTTTAGCATACTTTTCACCAGACATTAATTGCCGTGTTTCCTCTTTTAGAAACCTTGCCTACTTTTCTACATCTCCAGTTTGGCCACTTTCTTCATTGGGATTACCTGCCTTGAGGCTTCATATGGAGGGGTCTGTCATGGGGCAGGAAAGGGTAGTCTCCCTAGTGCAAGGAAGAGAAAGGAATGTATTTTCTTTCTTTCTTTCTTTCTTTTTTTTTTGTGTGTGTTTTTTAGTAAGGGTCTACAGGGTCTCACTATGTAGATCGAACTCATAGTGATCCGCCTGTGTTCAGCCTCCCCAAGAGCTGGGATTATAGGCATGCACCACCATACCCAGTCTCAATCACAGTCTCAGCATGCTATGGAGGATGGGGCCAGCTCAGCATGCCAGGAATTGAACCCTGGCAGCTGTGCTCTGCCTAAACAGGCACTTTAATCCGCTGAGCTATTTGACCTGCCTAAGGAGTGGATTTTCAAGAAAGCTGCATTTTTGCTTTTTTTTTTGTCATGGAAGTTTCTGGGGACCCACAGTGATTAAAGTTGGAGAATGTACTTTGTAGACATAACTAACATCCTATTTATGGGTGCATTTGAGGGTAAAATGGGACAGTCCATAGTCAGGGCCTCCATGATAACAGGGACAGTTTCTTCCAGTTGGATGCAAGAGCTTTGGAGACCAAATACTACATTTATTTTTATGTGCAAAGTCATAGGACTGTGTTTCATGGAACTGCACATTTCTAAAGAAAACCAGAGACAAGACCCTCCTTGGTTGAAGAATGTATTTCCTCTGGCAGGTTGCACATGTTTTGATTTGTATAGTGTTTTTAATGTCTGTAAAACACTGGGATGAAGAGGGATGTATTTTCTTTCAGTGTTGCTTTCACATCCTTTCTGCAAAGTACAAGTCTGCCCATTGGCTTGCTTCAGGAGTTGTTTTAGTGATTTTTCTGACTACTTGAGAAAGTAAGCATACATATGTGAAAGTCTTTTTTTAAATTTTAATTTATTTTATTTTTTATTTTTTTGGTGGAACTTTTGAATTCAGGCCCTTGCACTTGCCAGGCAAGCACTTACTCTACTGAGCCATCTCCCCAGCCAATTTATTTTATTTTTTAAAGAGACTACAAATAAGAATTAAAATGAAAAATTACAAGTAATACAGAATTTCACTTAACGAAGTAATATGAATTTCACAGTATTTGTTGCAATACATAGTATTGTCTTCCAACCACTTATTCATATTGCCAGATATTTGCATATAAAATTGGAAGAAGAAAAAAAAAGAAAGAAATGTATCAGAAATTAAGAAGAGAAAAAGGTACAAATAATTGAAAAAAAGGAGACAACAAATTAAAGCATTAACTGCTTCTTTCCATAGATCAACAGAAATTACAGTTGTCTGAGCCATCCTGCTTACATACATAGATAAATCTCTTTCCCCAACTCCCTCTCCTGTCCTTCTCAACTCAGTAACTCTTTCCTTTTTGAATAAGTTCATTCCCTTTTCCCAGCATCTATTGTACTCTTCAGGTTCCATTTTTCTTTTTCAGGTTCTCACACTAAGGAGACAATACGATGTTTGCACATGTAGGTCTGATGTATTTCACTTAAGAGTATGTTTCCAAGTTTCATCCATTTACTGACAGAAGTCTCAAATTTATTGTTTTATAGCTGAATAAAACTCCATTGTGTAAAAATGCCACATCTTCCTTATCCATTCTTCAGTTGAGGGACATCTGGGTTGTTTCCAGAATTTAGCTATGACAAATTGCACAGCAATAAACATGGGTGGACATCCTTTCTGCTGTTCCATATCGCTGTGGTATGAGATTTTCAATTCTTCTAGGAAAATACCTGGGATGAGAATAGCTGACTTCAGTGGGAACTCCAATCCTAGCTTTTAAAGGAATCTCCATACTGATTTCCATAGTGGTTGTACCAGTCTGCACTCCCACCAACAGTACAGGCATATGTGAAAATCTTGAGAGACCAGAGACATTTTTTTTTTTTTGATAAAATAAAATAGTTTTGCCAGATACTTTGCTGAGAATCTTATTTCTGTTAAATTTTTTAGAGTAGTTTTTGGTGGTTTATATTTGGTAATAGTGGTGCAGTCCTGTGCTGAAGGAGCTTAGTATCAGAATTTGTACTATAAGGATTGGGTTAATAGCAAGCAAAATAGATGTTGAAGAATATCTTAGCACTTTGGGAACTGGGACGAGACAGAGGTTGCCAGCATTCTCTGCAGCTTGCCCATATGCAGACCTCGGAGCCAGGCTAATCTGGACTTGAACTCTGACTGTGATGTACTCTGAGTATCTCTGAGTGTCAGCTCAGGGTGTGGTGGCAGTTCTGGAGCCATGGGCTGTGGAGCCCGAGTAGGGCTTAAGTGAGTTTTAGTGCTTAGCGTGCCTGCCTGCCCAGGCCTTTCCTTCTTTGGAGTTTATGACCTGCTTCCACCAGTCATACTTATTTAGTAATGTGACTGGAGGAAGTTAGTCATATGGCCCATACGTGTGCCTTATTTACCATTCCCAAGAATTCTGTAAGGTAGATGTTTATTAGACAGACACAGTGCTTAGTATAAGCTAGGTATTGTTTCTTCTTTTTTTAACCCCTTTCTTTTGCTTTTGCTTTGCTGAGCTGAGGACTGAACCCAGGATCTCATGCATGCCAGAGAAGTATACTAGAGCAGGCTACGTATTTCATCTTCGGCCTCCATGCCAATTTATTGGGGCTTCTTTGTTTGTTTTTGGTACCAGGAATTGAACTCAGGACCTTGTGCTTGCCAGGTGGTGCTGTGCCACTGAGCTGTATCCCTGGCCCCCAAACCATGTTAAGTGCTTTAACCCATTTAGTTTTCAGCATAATCCTATGTGTATATAAAGAAGTACTATTATATACTCTGTCTTAGAGGTGATAGGCTTGAGACACACGGAGGTTGTGTCACATTTCAGGCACGCAGGAAGTAGGATTCAGACTAGGACAGTTTTGTCTGGAGTTGCTGCTTCCCTGACCACCACATATTATGTAAGACCTGGGATTCTGTCCATGTAAGACCTGGGATTCTGTCCATTATGGTTGAACTCCCAGCATTTTGCCTGAGGCAGGATGCCATGCTGCATTTTTTCCAGAAAAGTTCTTTCAAATTTTGTTGTGAAATGGTCTCTTCCTATCTTTAGTTGGAAGTTTAAAACAGACCCTGCCACTGTTTGTTCCTGACACCTCTCCACTGCTTATGAAAGTCTTAACTGTCCTTGTTAAACACTGGCTGATCAGAGTGGCTTGGACCACCTAGGTAGTTGGTCACCCATGTGCCGATCAGATTTAGTAGCTCACTGCTCTCTGTAAACTCACAGTGCCCTTTAACTTACACTTGTGAGGTGCATTATAGCAC